AGGATTTTTCTTAACCATCAATCCTAGAATAGAATTCTTGAGATTATGTAGTTAGTTTATCCCCAGCATCATGTCTCCCTCTTCTGCAGCAAAGCAGCCAAACCACCCAACTCTGCCTGTGTGATGGGACTTGACTTCCTCAAACGACCCTCAGGAACAGTAAACAAAACTCCAGTAAAGTCAAAGAGATCCTCTTTTTTGGCTTGTCTCCTGCTTAGTTTTCTAAAATTTTGTATCAATTAAATCCTGGTTTTTCATATGTCTCTTCCAAGAATGAACATGACTATAGTTGTTCAGCCATCTTTTTCCATTGGTTTGCCTATGCTTTTGGCCCATCTTTACACAGTATACTATGCCCTGTCTGCATTTTGTGAAGATGATGCTGAAATACAAAACTACTTTATTCAGCACTCATTTTCACTCATTTTAATTCCATGCTAAATGCAATGAAACACCCTAACTCCACATGTATAAGGTTAAGGTATGAGTTAGCCAGACCTTTAAAGCAGACCCAGCTACAGCTTTTCCTAAAAATGAGCTTATCAAAAACAACTGGGATTTGAATCACAAAGATGGAAACTAGAAGAAAGTCTCTCTTTAAATTAAGAATTCTTAGATCTTATGAGATAAATTAAAGTGAAAGCAGTTGAGCACAAAGCTCTCCCTCTCCCCTGTGTTTTGTACAGGAGAAGTCTTGCCCTCTACACAGCAGCTTTTGCTGGCCTTCTGCCTTGCAGGGAGCTGGCCCCATCCTTACTGCACACCTATGGAAGCCTCCTGGTTTCCAGCACCTCTGTTAGGCTTCCTTACGTGTCTGCTTCCTCTTCTTGTCCTGAGGATTGTGGCTTTCATCTCCTGAAGCAATCTTAAAAGTAATTACAAAGTGAAAGATCTGCTGCAACAATGAGTGTTAAAGAGCTGTGTGCCGCGACACTGCTTCAGTGCTTCCTAGTGCACGAATGATACAAATTTTCTCTGCTTAATTTTTAAACAGACTCTTAATAGAGTCTTGTATGAAAATTAAAGCAATCTGTAGCAGATGCTCTGCTGTTGACTTCAGAAGAGCTCAGTCCATTTATATTAGCAGCCTGTATAGTCTAGCATTCATTAATAGCCACTGCGTAGGTCAGTATGTTCTACAGTCAGATTGGATTTCCCAGGATCAGTTGTAGAGGAACTTGAGATTTTTGCTGCTGTAGTTTTCTTCGAGGCATAACTCTACCAGATGTTATCTAAGCTGCCCATTATGTACTAAGCTCTTGTACTTCTTTGGTATTCATTAATCCAGTCCTTCCCCACGTCCGTAATAAGAAAAACATCTGTTTCTTCTTGTTCAATCAAAGTGCCTACCTCAAGAGTACTACTTTTAAAATAATGCAATTAAAAAAAAAAAGAAATCCTAGATATGGAAATGTATTTCATTAGCATATTTAATTTGCATATGAAAACAGCTTTTCTGAAAGTCAGCAAAGAATTTGTGGTTGCAGCAGTGTAGTCTCTCTTCAAGTTGGATGCCAGAAAGATACAGTAATGAAAAAAAAACAAATTTAAATATATATGTCTCATCTCAGGTAAAAGAGATTAAACTGCAGTAAGAAAGTATCCCTGTGAATTTGGGGGGGGTTCTAAACTCTAGTTTCAAACTGAAAACTCTTGTAATAGGAAGTATTACATTCTATCCTTACTATTCAGGTTGGATTTACAGAATGATCTTGGTTAAACTTGATAGAGTCCAAGCAGCAGCTGTTTCTCAATATTCATGAGGCAGATAATAAAATATTCCACTGCCATAGGCCCTGCAACTCTACAAATTCATCCCCTACGGAAGCATATACTGTCTATCACAGTAGCAATGTTAAGTTGGTGGAAACAGAGTAATATCACGTCAAAATGGGAGTGTTGACTGTACTGCACCTAGAAAATACTCAAATAAAAAGCAGATTAAAAGCTGCAGCAGAGAAACGGATGCTCCCAGCTACGCAACTGGGGAGCACCATTCCATGAACACCGAGGCAAGGACTCGCTGCGTGCAAATGAACTGCCCTCATTATCATCCATAGCTAAGGAGCTGCAGAACCCCTGGAAAAACAGCTCAGCAACAATATCACAAGTGTAAAATTACAACTGTTTGTGGCAACTGGAGTCATAGCAGTTCAGAATGCCACTGTGATCCCATAAAGATTCACCCGGGCGCTTAATACAGCTGGCTAGGAAGCAGGTGTGGTGCATGTTCTCTAATCTATGGAGTGAAGTCTCCATGAAACAGGAAGAGTGTGGTTGTTCAGGAAATGGCACAGCCTTGCACGGTCTAGTATTTTTAGTACTGGTAAAATACCAGGACTTTTCCAGTCATGCCCCTAGCAAGCAGCTTATGGACAACTATGTCTCCTCTTAATATATTATTTTGCTAGGTGCTTGTATATGAAGAGAGGGCATGAAATTAGGCTTTACTGGTAACCGGTAGCTCTCCTCATGCTCTGATTTCTGTCCAGGGTGGTCAGCATCACTTCCACCATCCTCTTCCCTGCGACTTTCCTTCATTCGTTGCGCTGGTCCCTTTGTCAGAGTGGCGCTGGCGAGCTGGGCGCTCTGCCCTTGCTGCCTGCTCAGAGATGGTACAAGGAGGTGAGCTAGGTGTAACTTTGCTTGCCCTGCACGGGCACATTGCACACCTCCCTCACCTGCTAATACAGCAGCCAGCAATCTCAGACTTTGTACTGTACTGAAACATTTGGGGGCTTTCAAAGCTGTGCACAAATCCGCGTCAAATTGGACAAATAGTTTCAGATAGAAAAGCATGGAAGGATTCCAGCTCACAAATTGGTTGTGATGGAAATGATGGCTCTTTTTGCCACAATATTCATTTGACATTATTCACTCAGGGAAAAAGAGAACTGAGTTATCTACTTTTGTTATAACTCACTGTTGCTAGAAGAGGAGAAACTTTTGCTTTCTGCTGAAGAGTACTTGGGGAACGAAGCTTCTAGTTTTCTAGTATGTATACTAGATGTTACCTAGTATGTTACCTAGTTACCTAGTTTGTATACTAGTATATTAGAACAGTTACCTAGTATGGGAGAGAGAGAGAGAGAGACAGTTCTATGACTCTTGCATCTGAATGCATGTTTCCAGTCTCCATTTTAGTCATATTTAAAATACGTCATATAAAAAGAACATGGGTCCTGTAGGACTAATGTATATAGTGTTTATAAAGCAGGCCAAAGTGTGTAATCAAAAATGCAAGCTGAAGCGTTTTTGCGCCCTCTGAGATTTTCCACTTCAAGCTCTTTACTCCTCTTGCCATCAATTTATTGCTTTCAGAAGGAATACCTACAAAAGATGATGGTGGCAAACTAGGGCTTATTATGAGAAATACAGTGTACTCCCAGTTTAAAGGCATATTCATCTGTCTTTATTTTCATCACTTTTTCTATCATGTTTATGTTTAAGTATGTTTAAAAGACAATGAATTGAACGTAGGGAAGATTTTGGCCGGCAAATTTTGTCCGTTAGGTGATGTTTTCAATCAAAAACAACGTAGCACACAGCAATGGCCTGAAAGTTGGCCATTGTGCCTGGCTTACTGTGGAAGTTTTAGAGGTAAAAAATTTGCCGTGGGAATACGTGAGATAGTACTGCCTATTTCACCAAAATCAAGCAGAAACCAGTGCAATTTCAGTGCTCCACTAGAGGCATCGCGTGATCTCTCTTCTTTGCCAAGGGGCAAAGCAGCAGCCTGTAGCAGCCGCACAAGACCCGCTACCGCTCCTCTTGCCCGATACTCTGATGCTTCTTCACTCAATGGAGCAGGCTGCCCAGGGAGGCTGTGGAGTCTCCTTCTCTGGAGATCTTCCCAACCTGCCTGGATGCCACCCTGTGCCCCGTGCTCTGGGTGTCCCAGCTGGAGCAGGGGGGTTGGACTGGACTCTAGAGGTCCCTTCCAACCTCAACCAGTCTGTGACTCTGTGAATATTCCCCTTTTTTCCAGAAGATGACACAGACATTCCCCTCTGCGGACGTAGTGATGAGCAGCCTGTGCTGCCCTTTTCATGCCTTTTGTTTTAATTGCAGAGTTTTAATTTTGTCCAGAAGTCTCTAATTATTGTTATTCAGTTCATGGCAGTAATGAATGCCTTGATGCAAACTGAAATAGATTTTTCTCATGATAGGTCATCTCAAGCTTGAAATTTGTTTTTAAATTATCTTCTGATGAACTTCAGTTGTATTAACGCTTACTACAACAATTTTGGTTTGGAACACTGTAAAAAAGGTGTTTTCCTCCTCCTTTTTCTTCATGAGTTATTTTAGCTATAAAATAACTAATCTTGTCTGTATTGAAATATTGTGTTTTTCTATTTCTTGTTTGTTTGTTTGGAAGAAAAACTTCCTTGATTTTAAAAATATTAGATCTTTTTTTTTATCATATGTAGCACATTTTGGCAGAAACATTTCTTACTGATACGTTCTTATTCACACAAAAGAATATTCCAAGCTCTGACATGCTCGTTGATTTTGTCAGGACTTGATCTTGTTTAGCCAAAAACGTGGAAGCAGTGGGGAAAGAATATTCATTAAATGCCTAGGTATATGTCGTGATACTGATTGCCATGAATACTGTTCATTGATTGAAAAAGATAACATTGCTTTGAATGTTTTGAAATTTTATCTTCCATTTTACTTTGGATACTGGTAGTATCTCTTTTTTTTTTTTTTTTTTTTTTTTTTTTTTTTCTTTCATTTTAGATACTGCTTATTGTTCAGGATTGTACTTTTTTTTTGCCAATTGCCTTTTGCTAATGTGACTTAGCGCCA